TGTTTATAAATAAGGGGAAAATGGCACAAATTCGGTCTAAATAATAAATTTACAAACGGCGCCCCATAGTAGCCTGCGTGCGTCGCGGACTGAAAACCGTCTGCGAATTAGTGCACAAACACAAATCCTTGTCTGAGACCCCCAACGAACTACCCGGATCTGAGTAGTCGTGTGTGATTGGTCTCTTCTCTCGTTATGTCGCTTGTGTGAACTAGTCTTTTTCTGGTTTGACTGATGTGGTCGCTTGTCACGTGTCGCGTAACTTGTGGCTCTAACTGTAGATTGCCGGCTTTAGATGTTCCCAGTTGAGTTGGAATAAATTTAGACGTTTGCTAAGAAAAAAACGGCATTATTAAAAGAAAACAGGAACCCAACTTAAATGTTATTATAACTGACATTTTTAGTAAAGCAATGATGTGCATAAGCTTTTAAATTAACAACTGCAGTATTGCAGAGTTAAATGTTAGCCATCATGGTAAAAATGGTTATATGAGAAAAAAAGACGAAGCTCTCAAAGGACGCTTTTCCCTTTTTCTTTCTCTGACCCCGCTCACTTTTCTTTCTCCTGCCCATTAACCCAGAACCTGGAACAGGCTACTTACATTTCTCAACAATCTTGTGCCGGTAGTCTTCTATTCAACTGGTCAGCAAAACACTGTTATCCAGGCACTTTTTAAGAATAGGGTTAGTTTAGGGCTAGAGCTAATTTTTCGAGTGGGGTTAGTTTTAGGGTCATGGTAATTCTGATCTAGACTGCAAAAGAGCCATATGTTATTTTGGCGAACTGCCTAGCCTGCAAACGCAGACGTATTTCCGGGAGACAAAAGACAGCCAGAAATGGTTAATGGCAAAAAGTCCAAATTTTGGCTTATGCGCACGCCCGGAATTGCAATATTGCTCAATTTTTACGTAATCCTCAAAAAATCTCTCCTTTTGGTAAAAAATAAAAAGCGTTCTTAGCAAAACTTAGGCCCATTTAGCGTCATGGCAGCCAAAAAACCTGACTAAACGGTTAAAAACGGTATTTTTTGGCGAAAATTTGGTATTCAAAAGGTTAAATGAGATGCCAGAACTGTCGATCCGCTGTATGGCAATGAAAGGTGCTCGACGCTTGCCTCACGAACAGCATTGCTTTAAAATCTGTTAGCTTGTGCGTGGACTTTTTAGATATAGTTCACGTTACAGTTATGGACAATGAATATGGAGATTGCGCTTTATTTTTGTTTTCTTGTTCAATTTTTTGTCCAGTAATGCGCCAAATGTTGATCACCTCTTTTAAACAGTCACCAAGCTATTTCCTGAGGGTGACCGCTTTTAAATAGAGGTTTAACTTAAGTATGGTTGTTCAAAACTTAAGCCTACAATATGACACATACGGTCTAAGCATTGGCACTAGCAACCTGTGTAAGCTGGAGAAAAACAGGCGTAAGGGCTTGCGCTTGCATCGTCCTGGCTTACACGTGGAGGAGATATGTTAGGTATGAAAACACCCCCCTTGATTACGTCTTGTTTTGTTTTCGAAAAATTTATCACCCACTCCCTGGTAAGCAAAAGTTTAAACAGCTTGCTGATTCAACCGCAATGTTCGAGTTATGCCTGTTTCACACTAGCATAACGACATAACGACATAAGGAAAAGATCAGTTTTGTCTTTATGTCGTTATGTTCATGCTGTTATGTTGCTAATGTCATTATGTCTACATGTTCACACTACAAACATAACGTCCTTTTTACGTCGAGATAACGTCCTTTTTATGTCGTTCGTGACGATGTCGTTATGTCGCTAGCTAACCAGGCTTGACACGCATCTGTAGCCTCTAACACAGACTTCCTTCACGCAATCTTTTGTCCCTTGCATAACATGCAAAGACAATCAGTTTTCAAAATCGGCAAATTCCCTGTTGATTAATCTCTACAAATTTCTGAAATTGCGCGATAAATCGTGACCTACTCGGTACCACCTCATTACAATGTACTTACACAGAAAGACTCATCAGTCATTAATGACAGTAAAATAGTCTTGTTTAATTTAATAACTATGTAGTGGTTCAAAAAAACTGAACCAGCTATAACATCATTAAAAACCATGTTTTACAGGTTACTGAGGTAAAATATTTGCATAAAAATGTTGTTAATTTGTTAAAGAAGAAGAAGAAGAAAGAAAGACAAAATTAGCACTACTTTACCAGTGGCTCTTGCTTTTTTTTTTTTGTTTTTCTTCGCTAGGTATAAACTCAAGCCTAAAAGTGTTTTAAAATTCACTACGCACCTGGGAGGTACATGTTCTAGATTTACATAATTATAGTAATACCTTACAACTAATCTCTAAAAAATAATTGTTTCAAGGTTTCAAAATAATTTACACTTATAACTTAGATAACATCTACATCTACCTTGATATATTCACTATCTATTACATTTTGTCTCATTTGAGAGTTAATTCTTTACTCAACACAATATTTTTGGGCCAAATCACTGCGAGCCACCAGTCTATGATTTAAGGCATCATATAAAATTTGGTATGTAGCACCCTCAGCATTAGATTGTTTCCAATGTAAGAGCGTTTTAAACCCTTTCTCTCCCAGTTCCTCATTTTCCTTATCTATGGCAGTTATTTCCGGCTCTGTAACTTTTAAGCGCCGGCCAAGTTTCCTCCAAGCAGCACCTATATCACTTCCTAACTCCTCTAACACATCATCATCAGGTGTTCCCAGCTTGACTGAGACAAAGAAAATAGGAAGAAATGAAACAGAGAATTAATATTATTAACAGCTGATTGTTGTTTCATCCAAAATGAAACTTTCAGGGTTATAAATCAGCTGTCACCTGGTTGCAAGGGGTGATGTGGATTGTCCTAAGGTCACCAAAAGTTGAGGTTTGACTGACAACGATTCAAAGCATTGTCATGTTTTCAAAAGTTAGTGATAAATATAAAACAAACAAATTGCCTAACTGGACTAACTTTCTTTTCTTTTCTTCATCTCTAATTTCATGAACTTTGGAGAAATTTTGGTTCTGAAGTTGAAAATACCAAGCAGATTTAGACGGTTTTAATAGCATAAGAACCATCCAGAATAAACATTTTGTTGTTGCCAAGTGGCTCCAGACTTACTCAGCTTTGTTTGTAGTTTGTTTTAATATTGAAGTTGCACAAGCTATCTCCTTTTGGCCATTTACACAAACAAATAAACATGTTTATATTTGTGTTACACTAGAGGATATTGAGAACCACATTTTTGGCCTAATGGCCTAATGGCCAATAATAATAATAATAATAATANTTTGACTAGTACTGTAATTCCCGGAGCTTTGCCCATGATTTGACGATAACTTGAGCATCTTTAAGTCCTGATGTTTTACCCGTGTATATATAAAGTTAAATAAATAAATAAATAAATAAATAAATAAATAAATAAATAAATAAATAAATAAATCTCTCATCACCATGCAATGGATGCCCAGAAAACAGACAAAATCCCCACTACACACTGATAATTTGGGAATCTACTGGACATAAATTTGAAAAACAACATGACTCGATTGAAAGCTGCCATTCAAGTGGATGCTTTTGCAACTGTCCACATGTACAATTACTTGCTTATGCCTTGTGGATCTAAAGCTACTTAAACAATGAACTGATGCAATTTGTAATCAATATGAGCTAGGACAGATGTATAAAACAGCTGGCATCAATTTGTTGGTAAACTAGTAACCATAGTGGTTTTTGTTTAATTAACTGTATTGTACAACACAGGTCAAAATAGAGCTGACATTGTGAGTGTTATTTAATTCTTTGTCAGTCAGCCTTTTACTCTAATTTACAAACTATTAGGTAACTAGCTTGGTTTAGAAATAGATTGGAGACAGGAGAGATATATGATGTAGAAATTGGATAAAAAAAGGAGACTGTCTTCATGTGTGAATCATTTGTAGCATAACGAACACTAAGTGGTAACAGAATAAAATTACAGTGCAAAATTAAAAGTACACTACCCCACACACATACATCTTCCAACACTTTGCCTGTTTTTCTCACTGACAATGTGTATACACTAGCATATAAAGTTTGAAACAAACAATTCACATACTTCTTGGTGACGCTTCTGAAGATGAACTACTGGCTGGAATTCCACTCTCACCAGAACTGGTCACTCCTGAAGTGGCAGGCTGTTCATCGTCAGAACTTTCATCATCATCATCATCATCATCATCATCATCATCATCAGATAAACCAGAGTCTTCATACAGACCATCTTCATCCTCTCCATCCTGTTTCTGTGGATATACTGGATTTTTGGCAAACAGGTCTGATTAGGACTATGAATTTCAAAATAGTATTATCTTTAAAACTAGGAGTAGTTAAAGATTATCCTCAAGTAAATACAAACAGTTTCAAAGCACGCATTTCAGATAACCTGTATCCACCATCAATTTCAATTACAGTAAAGCCACTAATTGGTCACTGCCATATAAATACGGATAATCTAGAATAAAATTAAAAGTTACGTGACATAACATTGAGTGAGTAAATTGCTATAGTGCTAAAAGCAAAAACTTTCTTTTTGATTTCCACTGATTGCTTTACATTCTTTAGCCTTTAAAGTTTTCAGCACTATAATTGTAGTTTTAAATGTTTTAGTGGTATGTTTTCGACTCCTTGAATCAGCTTCAAACAGATTGATTTCGTTTGCCAGAGTTCACCCCTCCTGGCTAAAATCAACATGTCAAGAGATACAAAGTTTTCTAATAGATGACTGATGGTTACGATAATTATATGATTTAATTCATAATGCAATGTTTGGAGTTTGCATTACAAGTAACTGCAGTACACTGATTTATGATGATTAGCCAAGTTCACCATGACATATTATCTCGTAGAATAAAATGTAGAATAATTATTACAAAGGTACATAGCTATACAGTAAGGTAAAGAAAAGTCAAAGAGTGTCAAGCCAGTGGCCCATACAGACAGAGCTTATCCCGGTTTCTGTAACATTAGGCAACCAGGAGTATTTCTACTTCCCTTGTGGATGGGATGCTAGTCCATAACAGGGCTATCCCTAGCATTAAATTCCCTGGTACTCATTTACTGGAGGGGCAAAGGGGGTAGTATACACCCGGGTGGAGAGAGGCACTGTGAGAGTTGAATTTCTTGCCCTAGAAAACAATGCAAAGGGCGCCCTGATATGGCTCGAACCCGGACTGCTTGATCCAGAGACCAGCCACCAACCATTAGGTTGCTACACCTCCACACATATCTATATAGTAGCCACTAGCCAGTATGAAAGGCTGCAAGGGCTTATGTGTCCCATGGCATTACAGGACAGTTGATGATGACGATGATGGCGATAACAGTGATAAATTAACAATGGTGATGGTGGTGGTAGTGGTGGTGATCGTGCATGACTGCTTTTATCTCACCTGAAGGTAGACCAGCAACAACCACAGACCTGACAAAATAGCAGATCACCTTCTTCATGGCACCAGGTACATCTACTAATAAGGAACCGCCTAATGGTCCAAGGGTGTTGTTTATCGCTAAAACAACTCCAACACTTTTTGCCTTTCTGGCAATTGTAGACAACAAGCATCCATCCAAACTTGCTGCCCTCACGACACAACTTTCCAACTCTTGTGGGTTCTGTACTACTGCAGCCCTGAAGACATGTTTTATTAACTTTGGCCTATGCTTTCGTTTGGTGTAAGCAACCTGCAGCAGAGGTTTATGCTCATAGTTGGGGACATGCAATCTGGTTTTTGAACCTGAGATAACTTTCATGACTGTACTATCATTGCGAATTGCTCGTTCCAAAGACTCAAATGTTACTGGGAACTCTATTCTACAGAATGTGCCAATCGCAAACTTTTCTCTGCTTGCTCCAACTGCTTTTCCTTTTCCATCTTTGAATGTAAACTTTCTAATAGACTTGACTGGGTACATGCTCAGTAGTTTGCATCTAGGATCAGAAGAATTTATACATGCACCACGTAAGATGGCCAGGGTAAAATGTCGGAGTCGATTTGCACTAATGACTCTGAACAACACAGAAACATCATGGCTTTCAATTCCTAAAAACAGAATAAAAGGAAATCATGCAATATAAATGCACTGTGGGCCTACAATCATACAGATACTAAGACTTGACAAACTTGCACTTACACAATAACGTTAACTTAAAGACTATCCTAAAATCATAGTTTATGATCTTCATCAGCCTAATCAATGTAGGTTTATGTTGATGCAATTTAATTTTTTAGGAAATAAAGAAAAAATTGATTAAGAATTTCAATTAAGGGTGATTAGATATGTAATTCATTGCTTCATTGTTTTAACGTAATACTAAGCTAATGGTTGTGATCACTATTTGCCAGGATTCTTTTCATCAGTTTTGTACATCCAACTGATTCGGGGATCAGATACCAACCTAAGACAATCCAAACCATGAGATTGTCAATTTTGTGTGAAAGTACCCTGAGTTGACCCTAAAAATTGATGCACCAAAAAACCAGCAGGTATATTTTGCAGGGTGCAGTTTGAAATTTAATTATAACTTGAAAACTGTTGGCACTTAGAAGAAACGTGCGGGTGGTAGACTTACCGTGACTGTTACATGACGCTGTTTACAATCACTTAGAAAGGTGGCTTCCACCTAAGTGCCAAACCAGCCGAAACGATGGAAGGAGAGTATATTCCTATGATTTTAAGCCTGCAATGAATTATTCTTTTTGAAGAAACATCTGAAATATGGTCTGAAATATCTGCTGAATTTGGTTTCTTCCCTGTGAGTACCAAAATGAAAGCACACTGAGCTTGTGCTAGTATATTCCGTCGGTTAAAATCTTATGTTATTTCATTTCTTTATTTATTTGCTTCATTTGTGATGACAATCTTCTGTTGTTGAGGGAAGACCCGAGCCAAATCTGGAATTGATGGAAACATCTGTGGAGCGGCCATCCAGATGGCTTTCAAGAGATTTCACNCTTCTTTTTGAAGAATATCATCAAGATCGAAAAAAACAGAAGGTATGAACCTTTTACCCAACGCTTTAGCCCACTGTTGCTCGGATCAATCAAATCTTCTGGTTCTCCTTTTTCAAACTCATACGCCTGGGTGTCTTCCTGTGTGGGAAACGTAACATCCACTTCCATGGGCTCTTCCTCTATATCTTGAACATGAACAGTCTGTAAAACTTCGCCAGATTTCTTGTGGCTTGCCAGGTCGAGGACTTTCATCCAAGCCCTAGCTTCATTCTCCGTTACTGCCATGCTGTGTTTCTTATTTTCAGAACTCTTCCCATAGCCCATGTGCAGATAAGGAACCTCCGGTACTTGGAAGAGCGAAGGTTTCTTCAAACTCAAAATGTCTTTAGTAAGGCGTGAAAAAACTTCCTTTGGCCCTCGTTCTCTCAGTCCACCATCTCTCAGTTCTAAATCTTCGAGAAGTACTGTCGGAGATAGAAAGACCAAATTTTCCTTCTGTTCTGGGTCATAACGGTACCATGCCTCCAGCTCGAACTTTTTATCCAGCACCTCCTCACTTATGTTGACGATTTCAGATAGAGTGGTCATTGCTAGCAGAATCCGAATCGGTTACCGTTACAAGCCACAATCTTCGGGCGCCATTATTTTCTGCGTCCTTTCTATTCTCGTCCCCAGCACCACCTGTCCGTCTTAAGCGGGGGAGCCTTGGTGCAAGAACTGCAGTCACCCGTCACAGCAATTCTATTTGTCACAGCAGAAGTCTCAGCCTAAGTCACACCTGGCCTCAGCACCGCCCTACAATCCGCAATTGAACCTACCAACTTTTAGGTCGATTAAAACTGGCTTTTCGGCGAAGTCCTCCGTAACAAAATATAACAACAGTAACAATAGCTGTATTTGCATTACCATATTGATAACAGCATTGCAAAAACTTATATTTTTTTTAACAATTAATGAATACACTTATTCCGCTCAAAGTAAAATATGTTATTACGCATGTCGTGACCAACGTGTCCTTGACAACAAGAGAGCACAGGCCCGCAAATGATCGATCCCGAACCAAATTAGACCGCAAATCTGATCCCGACCGAGCAAAAAATATGGAATGGCATGGATTTTATATATCAAAGCAAAGTGAAAACATTTTAAAAATGTCAGACACACAAAAAACGTTTTTTCTTTTTTCTTTTTTTTTTTGCTTTTTTCTGGATAGACAATATTATTTCTGTACATACTAGAAAAAAAATCCGAAGTTGATTTCATTACCCCATCAAATAAAAGACTTTTGTTCAGCTCTATTGCGGATAGCAGCAACAGTTTGGGAAATTTTGGATATTCAACAGTTAAGCTCTTCAGGTGTTGTAGATTGAACAGTTTTAATAATATACTTTTGGTCAAAGATCTGTTAGTGTATAAGTTCGAGAAAGAAACAAATGTTGATTTAGTGAAGATCTTGTTCCAAAATCTAGCCAATCAAACCATGTGTCAGGGATCATGTGTATCCAGGGCCATTTTCCCTTGTGCCAAGGCGCTGTTAAGGTGGTCGGCTAAGAGGGACGAGAATGTGGATACAAAATGACTCGATTAGCTAGTTTCTTGGGGTAAGATTCATTAATTCCATACTGGCTTCTTTCCCGAACATATCCTTTGGTTGATCTCTAGCTAAAGCGTTCAGTTACCAGTTATAGCTCGTACAGAGTTCAACAAAAGGAATTCTGAACTTTCTCAAGGTCCTCCGCAGTTGTGGGTACACGATCCTGGCACGAAGGTCGAGCTTGCGCTTGCGTACTCGCATTTTGGGCGTCGGAGACTATTTTTCGTTCATATCAAACTCGGCTTTCACAGCTCAATCGATTTGTGGACAAGTCTAAAAATTGCCAAAATGCGATTCGCTCTCATGTCCAAACAGACTTCTTTACACAGTGACAAGTAAACTTTATCTAATTTAGACATTTTCTAAAGAGGGCTCAAAATGTCTCCACATTTTCAATTTTATAACAGGTACAACCGTTTTAAACGCAAGACAACTAAAAGTAAAATTATTAGAATAAGCATTAGGATGAAATCAGTGGGTAGTATCCGATATGATTAAAATTGCTGGTCCGCACCAGCACAGATATAGCGAGGCCAAAAAAAAAAAAACGACTGATAAAGCACTTAGACACTCTGATTGGTTTAAAGGTGTTTGAAATGACCAGTTGTTTCTCGATGTAAGTGATCACTTGTGTCATTATCTTGTTTCACTTGGCAAACACTGCTTTAACGTTTTTGCCTGTTTTTGTTTTTCAATACATGGGTATGGAGCAGACCGCCATTTTTCTCGTTTTTTTTTTATTCTATGGAGTGATAGGTAAGTATTGGTGGGCGCGTGGCAATGATATAATTAGATGGTAGATGGGCCTTTCAGTTGATATGGTCGTACTCTATCACTCCTAGTTGTGTTGTCGGGTTACGGTCTACTGATATTATTTCTAAGTTACAGGTGTTTCATTTGAGTAGTTTGTTAGGAGAAATTAAATATGAAAGTGGTCATACCCAATCCTTTTCGACATTGCTACGAGTCTTCAAGTTTGTCTTTAAAAATAAACGAAAAAAGTAAATTACCATATTTAAAGAGGAACATCAACCTGGTTTTCATGGGGATCCTCCATCTTGGTCAAATTGGGATTCGGAATTTGCTCAAGTTTATGTTCAATGAAATTTGCTTTGACTCAGATAAAGGGCTTAGGGCTCAAAAGGAAAAATGGTGACAAAAAGAACTGCTTGTTAAAGGTTACAAAAAAAAAACCCACAAACATACACACCGCTTTTAAATGGGTTAACTGATCAGGCGGCTATATTTTAACCAATGATAGTTCTTTGTAAAAGTGCGAGATTGAATGCTAGTAAGACACCAAAAGTGCGCAGACATTGTAGGAACGCTATTCTAAATGACACGGTAATTCAACGGAGAGTCGAATTTCGTGTTGCGAGGGAGGAATGCAGAGCGTTTATCTTCAAAACGTTGGTAAGAAGAGTTACTGATTTTATGATTCTCCGATCAAAACGTCGTGTGGCACTTACTGATAAAAGCTTTCGTCTTCGGCAAACCACAGCGTTAGCTAACGTCGCTGTGGTGGGGTTTCAGAACACTGTAAGTTTTAAAATGCCTAGCTTCTCACGAAAACGAGTTCAGTCTAAGTTACATGTGGTGGAAAATCAGAGACTTGACCGTGGATCAATTGACACGTTCAATTTGTAGAGCTCCTAATATGAAAGCATCAGAGAGTGATGAAAGCTGGTTTGTTATCATTATTATTATTATCCACGCAGGAGTGTTTTTATGTTTTCTTACAAGTTTATGGCTCTATAAAGTAAAGAGACCACACTGAGCGCGCTCCATTCTTCCCCATCAAGACACGTTGGGGATTAGAGCCGAGAAATTCCATACTGATGACGTGGTTTTACAGAAACCCTTGCAGTGTCTCTGATTGGTTGTTAATTACCCGCGAAAATTTAAACCAACCAATGATAGACACGGATCTCTGTAGAGCTACGTCATGAGGGAATTTCAGACGTGTCTTTAGCGGAGGAAGAATTGAAAGTTAGTATGGAGGAGTCAAGTAGAAACTGTTTTGCTTCTCACAAAAAGAAATACCAGAGGCTAAATGATAACTTATTTTGCTTGTCTCTTCCTTGCAAGCTAATCCAATTTACCATGCTGGACAGCGTCGTCAATATGTAAGTTATCCCACCGGATGTAATGGTTACAGCATTCCTTGTTGGCCGAGGCCGGAATTTGCGTGTGAGATGCGGCGCCGGATAAACGAGCCTGACTGGACTAAACCGGTTTGTAACCTGGACGGAAGTTACATAGGGTATCAATGCGAGGCTTACTCTCGTTCCAAGTGCTGGTGTGTGTACGACAATGGAATGATGATCCCAGGTATAAAAATTGGTGTTGTTGTACCTCCCAGCTCAAATACGTTTTCCGATCGGAGGAGAATGTGTCACGTGTCATGGGTTTAAACTCACTAACTCCCTAGGGCGAACAAAACTCACTAAATCCCTGGGGAAACAACAAATTGAACTTTCGACTTGATCGAACGTGATCAGGTCGTGCTCCTTGAAGCCGCGGCAAATTTGTGTGTCAGTAGTTTCCTATGTTTGAGTTGAGAGTTCGCCTCGGGGAACATTAAGGGTCTCGAGGAAACAAAACTCACTGTTTCCCTTGGGGCCAGTCATTAAGTGCTTATTGTTCAGTGCGCACCATGTTCGTCTGAAAGGTTATGAAAAATGAATTTCTCCTTACACTTCCAATACATTGTCAAAAAGAAAGGTTAGGAGAATAAAGAAAACAATCAACTAGGATAAATTAAATGCAAATTTAATTCTCAAAACTCAAAGTCAAGTTGCTTGAACAAAATTTTCAAACCTGATACATTGTTACATTTATCCGTCGTTCTAAAATTACAGTGAAATCTCCCGCTGTCGAAGACTCTTGTGGTCAGGTAAAAATGCGTCCACGTGTCAAAGCTGTATTTGTACGGTCATGATTAAATGTAACTTCATGGTAGTTTTCTACCCAGGGAGGAGTACGTTCGGAGATTAGACTTAAGTTTCAAGTAACTCAGTCCAGCTAGAAAACGTACTTATCTTTAAGCTCAAAATAGCATGTACATGTTTTATCATGATTTACTCTGTCATCTTTTCTTTTTATCCAGGGACCGAGAAAGACCTTCATGATTCAAACGTGGAATACAAGCAGCTAAACTGTGCTGAGACTAAGAGTAAAGTTCCACCCGCTCCCAGTTCCCCGCCCGTAAGCGCGCCTCTTACGGACACAAGAATAGGCTGGCACCTGGCTTACAGAGACGCAGCCATGGCTTACTTCAAGTGCCCAAGTCCCTGTTATTCGCCCTGTCCGTGCCAGCCTGGCCGGCATTATTACAACCCATATTACCCAGCCTCTGTAGTCCACCCCGCGCCAGTTCCTGCCCGCCCTGCCCCAGTCCCCGCTCCAGTCTCAGTACCAGCTGTAAACACATACATGGTAAACTAAGTTGTTTTATTTTCATTGTAAGATTTAGTAAACAGCCATCTCCTTTTGCGCACTGACCTCCTTGTCAAACCGCCTAAATCCATGCTTACCAATTATAGATCTACAGAAGCTATCACTGCGTCTCTAATTGGTTGATAATTACGTGCCAAAATTTAAAAACAAGAAACAACCAATCAGAGATGTATAGGGATCCCTACGTCATCAAAGCAGAATTTTGTGGGTTCAATCTCACACGTGAAAAGATTGCGCCGGCGGGAAGGGAAACTTCCAAAAAGGCTATGTAAAGGACTATTTTAAGCTCAGTTTATCCGGCTCCATTTTTTCTTAAATGACTTTTCATATTTTGATAACTCTTTAAAGGAAAAGCCACAACGACAAACAGATGATAAGTGTCGGATCTTCTGGAGAACTGTATCAGGACAAATCTTGAGATATAATATTAACTAAAAGTAGGTCAAAACTGATCCCTACCGCAAGTGGAAAAGACTTGACACAGAAATGAAATTAAAAAAAAGAAATAGCTGAATTTCTTTGGTGGATATTTCTTTTTACTAAACAAACCGTGTGTGGGGGCTAAGAACGAACAATACAAGCCATGTTGAATTATCTAGGTTAAAATACAAGTCATTTAATCTGCATTGAAGGACATAACAAGAGTTTGGAGTGCGCGCTGTTGGAGTAAAAAATCTTCTGTGTATAAACTCAGTTATTGGTGCTAACTAACGGTGTATATAAATTATAAAGACATATAAACTATTCAATAAATCAAAATCTTAATTCATTAGGTTCCTTATCCTGGCAGCTGTCCCGACCCCTGTCCAGAACCATGCCTCTGCCAAAGGAATGGACTCGCTCCGCCATCTGCGACAGAAAAGAATAACGCCGTCAAGGGA